TATAAGATTGTGGCATAATTTAAAACATCCACCTGAAGCCTGCAGGGCACTTTTGACAGATGCTTATAGCTGGGTGGGTACGACATTAAGTCATTAAAACAGACATTTGCAACTTGAACAACTCAGAGTCTACAAAAAAGTTATTTTCATCCACATGGTACAAGTATCATAATGATTATATACATCAGTCATGCCATATCATAATATGACCAAAAGCAGTACAGCTTTAATTTCATTGTTCAATGTTTATTCTATTTTTACTTAATTTTTTTACGCTGGTGGTATAATATGATTGTACATGTTACTCAACTATAGTGAGTAATCTACATGATTGTACATGATTGTATTTCTAAAGGTTCACCTTAGGAAAAATACGGAAGATTGAGATTTACCTCTTGGGTATTTACCGGTGCAATAGCTCAATTGGTAGAGTGCTCGCTTTGTAAGCGGGAGGTTGTGAGTTCAAACCCCGGCCGGGTCATACCAAAGACTTTAAAAATGGTACACACTTCTTTCTCTGCTTAGCATTCAGCACATATGAGAAAGAGTGTGGGAAGGTCAAACACACAGCACTACCAGTGGACTAGCCCCCTGCTGTAGTGCATTGCACAATTGTGTGTCGCCCAAGGGCTACGAAATGGAGATGGGCACCACCCTACGCTCGGGCAAGAGCCGGGAGACCTTCTTCTTGGGTATTTACAATGATTATCAAAGTAGTGCTTTTTGAACAGATTTCTCCCTGGCAGGCATATTTTTCAGTTATAACATAGCATGGCAAGTACTCGAGAGAGACTTGCTAGCACTGAGTTCTTGTGAACTAAGACACCTGACCTGACATACGCCATTTCCTCAGCAGTTATAAGTCCTGAGGACCAGTGTCAGGCATGAAAAGGCTGTGCAGTGTTGACTGGGAGGGTATTTATCAACAGAATTCATGGTAGGCATATTAACAGTTATAACGTGGCATGGCAAGTACTCAGACTTGCTAGCAATCTTGTAAACCTTCCCAGACGTTTCTTTGTCATGTATAAGTCCTGAGGACCGGTGTTAGGCATGCAGTGTTGACTGGGAGGGTCATTACTGACAGAATTCACCAAAAAAGTAGTACAGCTATAATAATTTAATTAAAATGTGTATTAATTTTATTGTAACTACTGTAACTGTTACTTATTTGTTAGGCTGGTGGTATGTGTACAAGTTACTCTAAGTAAACTATAGTGAGCAGCTATTTCTTAAAGTTCACCATAGGAAAAATACCAAAATACTGTACATGTCAGGCATGAAAAGGCTGTGCAGTGTTGACTGGGAGGGTACATGTAATTACCAACAGAATTCGTGGTAGGTATATTAACAGTTACAACGTGGCATGGCACAATTCTTGTAAACCTTCCTAGACGTTTCTTTGTCATGTATGAGTCCTGAGGACCAGTGTTAGGCATGAAAAGACTGCAGTGTTGACTGGGAGGGTCATTACCAACAGAATTCACCAAAAAAGCAGTAAAGCTATAATTCAATCAAAATGTGTTATTAATTTTATTGTAACTACAGTAACTGTTACTTATTTGTTAGGCTGGTGGTATGTGTACAAGTTACTCAAAGTAAACTATTGTGAGCAGCTATTTCTTAAAGTTCACGTATAGGAAAAATACCAAAATACTGTACATGTCAGGCATGAAAAGGCTGTGCAGTGTTGACTGGGAGGGTAATTACCAACAGAATTCATGGCTGAATGGTGCAGGCCGCTCAGCCCCGGGGCTTCAGACTAGATCCGTCAGAGGTTTAATTATCCAAATGACTCGGGAGGGGATGTGGCTGGAATGGCGATGAGGGCTGGAGGGCGTCGGAAAATGTCTGGGTTTTCGTTTTGGTGGCGGCGCTGAGTTACATGTAGCAAGGTGGGCTGAAATTCGTGCTTTTGGGGCATTTCTGTAGTTGGAAATCATATGGTGAAGCATTACTGAAATGGCATTGTCAGTGCAATTTGTATAGCTTCAAGGTAGAGCATTTTCGTGAATTTTGTAGTGATGGTGACACATATTTATAGGTGGTAAATTATCAAACTTTTCGTTTTGGTGGCACTGAGTTGGCAAGGTGGGCTGAAATTTGTGCTTTTAGGGCATTTTTGTAGTTTGAAATCATATGATGAAGCATTACTGAAATGGCATTGTCAGTGCAATTTGTGTAGTTTAAGGTAGAGCATTTTGAATTCGTAAATTTTTAAGTGACACATTATACATTGTACATGTATACTAGCTAGATGAATTATAAAATTTTTGTTTTGGTGGCTCTGAGTTGGCAAGGTGGGCTGAAATTTGTGCATTTGGGGCATTTCTCATTAGTTGCGCTATTGTTTGAAATAGGAAATATGGTAAGCAATAATTATTACATAAATGGCATTGGCAGTGCAATTTATATAGCTTCAAGGTAGTCAGCATTTTCTAGTGTTGGTGGCACATATATTGGCTACTAGTAGGTAAATAATCAAACTTAGGCCACACCAATTTAAGAAATTGGTTCTAGGATTATCCCACTTAATGTTGAATTCATGATACCTATCATAGCTTTTGGGTTATCAGAGGATGCCTAGGCCTCTTTTCTCACCCTGTCGCTTCATATTTTTATGAAAAAAATTCTGAGAACCAACAAATCAAATTGATGTGGCCTTATAAAGTTTTCAATGTCTGATACATAATCTTAATCAAAATCTTACTAGGTTTTCAATGTCTGATACATACTCTAAATTACAATCTTACCAGGATTCAATTTTGCTCCACTTTTAATGATGGTGGAGATTGTAAATGCCAGCTTCAACAATTTTCATAACAAGTGCTTACTTGTAGGTCCTGAATTATTACCATGCTAAACTATGTACTACCTTTAAGTGCACTTGCAAAAACTTAAGGTAAGATGTTGAATATTGATTATTATATAATAGTTGAGGTGGGTTGAAGGTATGAGTGCAAAGATGCGCCTTTTCATACTTTTATTAGCCCCATGATGTTAAGACTGGTGCCATTTCTCGTTAACACATAAAAACGAAGATGGATTTTAGATACCTGTCTCTTCCAAAATCTTCCCATTGAGACTTCATAGCAGGCCAAGCGTCCAATAAAGTTGTTCAATGTCTCCCAAGATACAAGCCATAATATGTGTTTTTCGGTCTTCTAGAATTCATAACCCGTTGTTTCCTATAAAGTTTCTAAATTAATACTCGAGTAAGTGCACTAAGAAGTGGTGGTAAAGATACATTAAAGATGCATAGTCTGTTGCAATGTAGAAGAAAAACTGTTGAAAGATGTGCTTAATAATAAATACTTTTATTAGCCTCATGGTGAGGACTGATGCCATATCTTCTTAGAACACATTAAGAAGAAGATGGATTTTGGATACCGCTTTCTTCCGAAATCTTCCCACTGAGACAAGATAGCAAAACCGAGCGTCCATAAAACTTTGCGATGTCTCCCACGATAGGAACCATAACTTGTGTACACGTACTTCAATTCTCTGATGCATAATAAGAAAGCTTTTCAGAAAGTAAGGACTCACTATACATCTATTCTGCAATTATATCTTGAATTGTACATGTACTTTACCAATATCTATCCTAAAGGTATGTGGATTTATCAATGTCTGCCCTAGTATATCTGCTGTATCCATGTATTTTTATTTATTTCCTACATTGTATCTGTTGCATTGCTTTTGCAACTGGTGTAACATGCCAGGATGTACCCCTGGTCATTGTCTACCCCCAGTTACATAATGGTCAGGGATATCAATTGGCCTGTTACACTGGCTGCCCACCCCACCCCTATACATTTCACTGTACCACCAGTACAGTGTATCACTAGTCTGTAATGGTTTCACCTGATTCTGTATAAAGCTCTGTGGCATTCCAGTCTGAATGGAAACAGAATTGTGGAATCTCCGGGACATTCCACCCTATATTGAGCCATCTCCCACCAATACTGATAAGGAATCGGGCCGCAAAATGCGTCTGGCGTTTGGTATAAGGAGATTGACGTATTGTGGGGGAGAAAGGAGCTTAGGCCGAGGAAAAAATGTTGTGTTTCCTGTCTTGGAAAAGTTAGGGTTGCTAGGTAGGGATTATCTTTTTTTTGGGCTTCCTTTTTTTCATTATACTTTCAATTGGCAATCTCTAGTGACCCAACTTGAGATCAAACTTGTACAATGCAGTTTAACAAAGCAAAAATTGCATATTTTCAATGGAAAGCTGATTGCACATTTCATCAATCAGGTGTCAGATCATGGAGGTAGGAAAGATCGATTAGCTTGGAATATTTATGATGTTTCTTCCAGGGGTCCATCCAAAAAAAGTCTAGGGTCGGCAGTTTTTTCTAGGGTCGGTTGGGAAACAGGAAACACAACATTTTTTTCCAGGCCACACCGTTTTGTATGTTGACCACGCCTGGTATTTTGACTTCATAGCTCCTATCGTAGCATTTGGGGCTATCATAGGATGCCTAGGCCTGTTTTTATTTCTTTTTTTAGCCCTGTGACTTCATATATTTTCTAAAAAAAATCTGAGAACCAACAAATCAGATTGGTGTGGCCTTAGATGGGCAGATGAAGAAGTAAGTGATGTGTGGCAGCGGCGGGGAAAGGCTTTAAGTGAACCCTTTGTTCCGTCGTCGGGAAATGACCACAGCCAAACGGAAATCGATAGCTTATTTGGCCGGCGTGTAAGAATAAATAGTGATAAATGGCTGGACAATGAAGATCAGGTAAATCAATACATTAAGAAGACATAAAATTAACAAAAAGTGAGTAATGCGGAATCAATGGCCGGAGTGTGGGGGGAAAAGGCGATAAGGGGCTCCACTGGCTTATCTTAATGACCATGGCGGCAATGCCGCTAAACCCGCAAACCTATAGATGTACGTTATGTATACCTGCAAGGTGTTTCACACTGTCTCATGTTGGCCTCGGGTTTTGCTCTGTCCTGATTCCATCTCTGTATTTTGCTGTGTTCCTGCAGGTTTTAGTATCCAGGCTGTGATCTGACCGAGAGGGAGACTGTCCAGGGCTTGGGAATTTGGCCGGCCGTATCTGAGCTGTTTGCGGTGGCATCTTTACCAGCAGAGCTGTGTGGAAACATTTAACTGTGATCTGACTGGGAGCTACTGTTTGGGGCTTGGGAATTCAGCCATCTATATCTGCTGCATCCTACCAGAGCTGTGTGGAAACATTTAACTGTGATCTGACGGAGAGGGACTGTTTGGGTCTTGGGAATTCGGCCAGCCATATCTGCTAAGTCTGTGGCATCTTACCGGACCTTTCTAGAAGAATTTAACTGTGATCTGACCGAGTGGGACTGTTTGGGACTTGGGAATTTGGCCAGCCGTATCTGCTTAGTCAGCTGTGGCACCTTAACCAGAGCTGTCGTGAAAGCTGAAAAGGAGCTACAGCCAGCTGTATCATCTACTAGTGTCTGCTGCATTTTACTACCAGATCTGTGTGGAAACATTTAACTAAGATGGAATTAACGGGAGTGTTTCTGGCCGTGTTGGCATTCAGCAGCCTGCTTGCTGTTGTAGCCAGTGCAGACGCGTGCCCTGATATGTGTGTATGCGAAAGCAGCGACGACGAGAACAGCGTGAATTGCGCCAACAGGGGGCTGGACCAGGTGCCCCAGGATATGCCCTACATCTCCACAACAATCAGTCTGAACGACAATCAGATCAAGGCCATCAAGGAGGACCAGTTTGTGAACCTGAAGTCTTTGAAAGTGCTGCACATTTATGCCAACAGGCTAACGGATCTCCATCCGAAGGCTTTCAACGGTTTAACCAGGCTGACACGACTGATTCTCTCGCAGAACCAGCTAAAAGAGCTACCTTTGGGCCTGTTTCTGGGCTTGGAGAACCTCAAATGGCTGGATTTAAGCATCAACAAGCTGCAAACTCTTCCTGCTATGATCTTCAAGGACCTTTTCTATCTGGAGTACCTGGAGATTTGGGGCAACCAGTTGAACTACTTACCCGAGGAGACCTTTAAGGGTTTGGAGAACCTCGGTTTGCTGATGATCGGGCAGAATAACTTCACGCGGGTTCCCAGCCTGGCGTTCCGCTACCTCCCGAGTTTGTCCACGCTGAAAATGGACGGGCTTCTGCTAGACAGGCTGGGAAACGATGCTTTCCAGTACGTGACGATTCTGCGGGAACTGTACCTCGGAGGCAACCAGATCGCGACGATCGGGAACGACACTTTCCGCAACCTGCTCAAACTCGAGTCTCTGGACCTCTCGAATAACCAGCTGCAGACGCTCACGTTAACGGAGAGCGCGCTGCCGAATCTCCAGATCTTCGACTTGCACGACAACCCCTGGATGTGCGACTGCAGACTGTTGTGGCTGCCGGGGTGGCTGAAGAAGCGTAACCTCGCCGACAACGTCGTGACGTGCAGCCAGCCCAAGTCGCTGCAGGGTAGGAGGTTAAACAACGTCGCCCTCGAGGTTTTGACCTGCCCCCCTCCGGTTATCATTGAACCCACAAACAAGAAAAACGTGAAGGAGGGGGCGTCCGTTGCCCTACCGTGCGAAGCTAAGGGAGATCCACCACCTACCATAAGGTGGATTACCCCAAATGGAAAGGATGTCACGTCTTCTAACAACGACCGCATGGTGGTCTTGGATAACGGTACGTTGTTTATCTCCAAGGCGACGTTAGACGACAGGGGAGACTTCACCTGCATTGCGGAGAATGTGAACGGTCAGCACGACAAAGCTACGACCAAACTATGGGTAAAAAGTAAAGGTTTCTTGTGGGGGCATGAAACCAGGGAGAGCACCCCGAAAAAAGGAGAGACGACGTCCTCGCGGTTCCTCTGGACGAATGTGGGCATCGGGATTGGTTCGATCGTGTTGTGCGTGGTGTTACTGGTCGTGTGGAAGGTGATGAAGAAGAGGAAAACCCACAGGGACCGGAACGTTGACGCGAAACCCATGACGATGCGAAACGTGACGACGGTCTCCGGCGTCAGCGAGGTCGGATCGCAGTATGTCAACCTGCCCGTCGGATCCGGGATGGTCACCATCGACAGGGCGGGGACGCTCGACAGGAATCACCGCAACATCATCGACGGTACCATCGACATCACGCAAGACGAGAAACCGCCGTACACCATCACGAATGCAGACGGGATGGGCCTAAACCACACCACCATGAACACCTTCTCAATGCCAGACATTCACCAGCACAATAACGAAAGAATAAACTCGAGTCGAAGTTTAACTACCTTTTCCACCTTTGATAACGCGGAGTCAGGAAGTATGGTGGCGACAGTATGATACTGTCCTTTGTAACAAAAAACAGATGAAGAAAAAATGGCTATTTTGTTTTACCGACGTTTCGTGTGCATGTGTGAAATAAGAGCTGTAGATATTGAGCTTTCTGATTGGAATAATATTGTTAATTATACCCAGTTTTTATACACTATGGTGATGACGACTTTATCATAGGAAAGATGAGGGGAAACTTTTACGGTGGAAAATTCTACTGTCAGGGTTTACGTTTCCCTCATCAAGCGACTCTTTTTACAAAAGAGTTGTCGATCTCTATTTGACTGTGCAGAAGGCCACAAAGTCAATTTACGATTTGGCTCTGAGAGACCCAAAGTCTTGCAAAGATGTCAGAAAAAAGTCTTATAGCAAAAAATCTTTTTTTTTTTCTTCTAAAAAACAAGAGGACATAAAGGTTGACAGAAACTGATTATCACACTGAATTTTTTCAATGATCAGTAGCAGGGTATGTACAACACTGTTATTGCCGATAACTGCTTTGTACAATGTTACTCAACAATTGAAATTCGGATGCACTAAATTGAAGTTAAAGGATAACATAGTCAAAGGTTTACTGTTATAATGCGACCAAATATTTTGAGTTTGCCACCTGAAAGTTTAGGCTCTCTATTATCATTTTAAAAGTTGGCCACTGTGATGCTTTGTCCAAAGAATGACCAGTTTCACTGCCAAAAATTGCAAATGCATTAAAAGGAATAATTACATTGTAAATCAGAGTACAGAAGCCTGCTTTTGTTATGATGAAATTGACATTTTTTGTCACAGTGGTTATTAAGAAAAATGTCACTTAATTTGAATTTGTGACACAGTACAATGGGTATGGAGGTAAACTCAATAAGTGCTAATGTCTTCTAAAACTTTTGTATTGTTGGGAAATAGAATTTGGAACTTTTGGGGTTTTCTCTCTTTTTCTTTGTGCACAGAGGGAGGAACAGACAATCATATGTTGGGTACAGAAAAGACGATGTATGTAAAAAAAAACAGATCACTGCTCGGAACTTTTTTATGGTCTTTGATGCGTCCATTTTTGTAGAACATGTCCTTGTGTGACCTTGCCAACCAATATGGAGGACTAACTTGTGCCAGGAGAGGTCAGAGGTCATAATGGAAGTCAGAGAACGTTTTACACCATCAGCATTTTGTATGTAGTTAAATGTCATCAAGAAATTCTTCCTTGAGATATTCTTGGAGAAAAGTTGGCCTCTTATTTGTTAAGTCATAAGACAAGAGAGCAAGCAAGATGAAGGTTCAAGTCTTGGGATGGTTCAAAGAATTTTGATAAGAAATGGCTTACCTGGTGGCCCTGTATGTAATGTGGTCGAATTCCTTAAAAGAAAAGAAAAATACACACTCATGTGACATAAGAAGGCCCTGGAGTTGAAAAATCAATGGACGATGTACATGTACTCTGCATTCCTTCTTTCCAAAGTGTGTGAAATATAGTTGAGAATTATATATTTTCATTTGCGCTCTGTGTCGTGTCTCATCAATTTCTGCTTTCTCTTAAGTAGTCTTGCAAGACACACCAGAACTTTAAATATTAAAATTGATCCTCTTTTCTCAGGCCATCTTAGAAGATTTGATACTTGCCACACACTTCTTGTCTCAATCCTATTTTCAAAACGTTTAAGTTCATTCAATACGTATATTTTCCACCTTAACAGTTAGCTATAGACATCTAACACACATGTATGTAAGTTTCCATAAGATTATAGAAACACACACACACGATCCCCGTCCATTGAAAGAGTAAAATATGTTCTATAGTCGGAAGTGTGCAAGAAGAGAAAACTTTCAGTGTGATTCACAATTTCAGAAAAAAAAAGTTTGAAAAAAGTGCGTTCACAAGAATATGAAATAAATGATTCACCTGACAAGCCACGCTCAATATGACCAAAGTGACAAGTTGAGGCGTGGTTCCGTCGTTTCTTCCATAATTTCCTCGGGACGTCCGGCCTAGTTATCAGTAGTCTCCAGCCACGTATACAGGCGTCCCATCCTTCAAATCATCACCATCCTCCTTTAGGCCACAGCAAATAGTTTTTAGGGACGGCATGAGCGCGCCTGATTTTGGGGAAAAAAAACAAGAAATTTTGTTGCCGAGAATAGTTTCATCAGGTTGGTGAAGTATAGGATACAGTTTTTTTACACAACCAACCTCTACAAAATTCGGGAGGCGGCTGAAAAGAGTAGAAATTGGCCAAATAGAGAGATAACATGCCGAGGAGTTGGTCGATCCGCTAGAGAGTACATTTTGCACTCCCCTGCCGCTGGCATGTTATCTCTCTATTTGGCCAATTTCTACTCTTTTCAGCCGCGTCCCGAATTAAGTAGAGGCAAGATGCCATCCATAAAGTTTACTTCCTCTAGCCTTATGTCATCACCATCCCTCGCACCTGCACATTAACCCTTCGGTCTGACCCCTCCCGGACCAATACTTCCGTACCGGGGTGAATGTAGACATTTTTTTGGCCCACCGCATTTGATGCCAGCGGACGATGTAATCCATAAAATTTACTTTCTGTGGCCTTATATGTGATGTTGCCGCAGAAAAAAATTTAACAATTATGATCTCAAAATTTCAAAATGTTTGGCCCGCCTTGTTTTTTTTCCTCTGTCGCATCAGATTTGGCACCTGTGGAGGATGTCATCCATAAAGTTTACTTCCTCTAGCCTTATGTCATCACCATCCCTCACACCTACACATTAACCCTTTAGCATGACCCCTCCCGGACCAATACTTCCGTAGGAGGTGAGAAATGGCCGAATAAAGAGGTCTCTGTGTCGGGGCAAGTTTCATAAATCAACCAAGTATGTTCAGGCATAACGCGGAAAAGGAAAGTTTCTGACCTAGTTAGGTTATAACACAGGTTCTGTATTGTAACAGACAGAAGAGGGACTGGCATAAGTACTGGTGCCTTTTGATAAAAGGCCTCTGGCCTGAAGCAAAGAATAAATAAATGATAATCACCATGAGAGACAAAACGAACAAAAGATCAAGAATGCAACAGGCCCACCATATATATCAAAACAAAACGAAAATAAGACAAAAACTTCATATCTTTGCGTAGGTCTATACGTGTCGCATAGTTCTATACGTGTCGCATAGTACCCCCATTTGGTAATGCATGTAGATATAGATGTCGATGATGAACGTGGTTATGGATCCTCCACACTTTGCTAATGTATGTATCTAGATATCCTCAGCGCTTTGTTGAACAAAATCGATCGTCCGTAATTTAGGGATGTTTCGAGCCATCGATTCTTCCGAAACTTTGCTGGCGTTGGCCGCCGCAGGATCCTCGATATTTCTATGATGTATGTAGTTACAAATACTTCGCTTCACACTTTTCCTAGCCTGTTCCAGGCTTCGAGAGGCGACTGGAAGGAGTAGAAATTCGCCAAATAGACTGCGGAGGGAGTTGGTCCGCTAGAGAGCACAGTTTGCCACTTCGGGTGCCACTTCGCGTACTTTCTAGCGGACCAACTCCTTCGGCAGTCTATTTGGCCAATTTCTACTCTTTCCAGCCGCTTCCCGAAGCCTGGTAGCCTAAGGACATATTTCTGACAGATGCAGCAATACATAAGAACGAACGCAGTCATCTTTAACAAAGAAGACCTACCAAGTCTAGACGTTGACATCCTCCTACGTTTGCTGATCATGTATCACGGTTCGAGATTGCTGGCAGAATCGCTGGTTCCACCTATACAGTTGGAAATCACGACCGGATCCAGAGTCTGTGTAAATCTTGAGATATTCACCTAAGGGACAGTAAGAACTTTTCAACTGTGATTCACGTCACTTTATAGCTTTAGATCAATGGATTAGCTTGAAACTTAGGATTTATAAATGGGAGACCGCCCTAACTCAGTAATATGATCCAGAACGTAGTCACTACTCCGACATTAATATATCTCATATACATGTATTACATGTATACAGGCAGTCAATGGTCCCGTGCATTTTGCAGATTACAAATCGTCCGTACTTTCTTGATCTATGCAGCCAAGAATTCTACACTTCACACTTTGCTGAGTGTGCGGAGAGCCATAGATCCTTTACAACTCCTATAATTTGGAGATATTCCTTTAAAGAACAGTAAGAACTTTTCAACTGTGATTCATGTCACTTTAGATCAATGAATTGCCTTGAAACTTAGGATTTATAAAAAAAACACCCTAACACAGTAACAGCATCCTTTTGGATTCCGATCTGGGTCTCTGTCGGCACGCAGAATCGCAGCAATTTTGCCAGGTCGTAGCCACTACCCTGACATAAATATCAATATACATATAAATATATATATCATATATGCATGTACATGCAGTCAACGGCCTCGTGCATTTCGCAGATTACAAATCGCCCGCACTTTCTTGATCTATGCAGCCAAGAATTCTACACTTCACAGTTTGCTGAGTGTGCGGAGAGCCGTAGATCCTTTACAACTAACTCCTATAATTTGGAGATATTCCTTTAAAGAACAGTAAGAACTTTTCAACTGTGATTCACGTCACTTTAGATCAATGAATTGCCTTGAAACTGGAAACTACCCTAACACACTAGTAATATCATCCATTTCGATTCCGATCTTGGTCTCTGTCGGCACACAGACTCGCAGCGATTTTGCCAATTCTCTATCCTGGCATAACTATAATATGCATCACATAATATAATATACATCATATACATGCAGTCAACGTCCCGTGCATTTTGCAGATTACAAATCGCTCGTACTTTCTTGATCTATGCAGCCAAGAATTCTACACTTCACACTTTGCTGAGTGTGCGGAGAGTCATATATCCTACATACAACACCTCTGATGTATGCACCCTCAGATTGCCAGCTCGTGGGGGAATATTATCAGTTTCTCTACCCGTAGAAATACGCGGTAGATTGCCCCCATGATGAATCGGTCGCCCTCTGTAAATCAATACGCTGAAATATCAGTTCTGTAATATTTGGGGGAGCTCATCCATTTCCGAGCGCGCCGTTGTCATACATAACGGTACATGTAGCGCGTGCGGGTGGGTGACTTTTTCGCACCTTGCCCGAGCGAGCGTCCCAACTTCTTGGTGGGTCTCACCTGTCCTGAGTCCAGTGTCAAGCCATATACAAGATCCTGCCAAATGCGTGACTCCGACACTACTTGGGGGTTTTCAATATACCGCAATCGTAAGCCTAACACCAGCCCTGAACAATGATCCTAACTCTAACCCTAACCCTAAATACTCTGAAATATCAGTTCTGTAATATTTGGGAGAGCCCATCCATTTCCGAGCGCGCCGTTGTCAAAACACGTACATCTAGCGCGTGCGGGTGACTTTTTTCGCACCTTGTCCGATCGTACAAACTTCTTGGTGGGCTCACTTGTCGTGTGTCCGGTGTCGAGCCAAATACACGATCCTGCCAAATACGTGACTCCGACACTACTTGGGTGTTTTCAATATACCTGAGACAAGGGGTGGGAGGGGTTTGGTCGTGATGTGGGAGACTATGACGGAAGTTTACCCCTAGCCTTGAACAAAGTAAACATAACCCGACTTAACTGGCATTTACTACCATTGGTAAAACCCAACTTTCCGTGCAGTGAAGTCTTCATTCATTATGCCATTTATAATCATTACATGCTACTGATATCATTTGAGAGGCTGAGGAGGTAGCAGCCACTGGACCCAGAGATGGAAGCTAGCTGCCCAATGTGCCCGTAGGCACAGGAGGACCTAAGGTCTAAGGTAAGGTAAGGATATGTTTCCAAATTAAACATTACCTCATCCACTCATTCGTTAACAGACTTTGCTACCATTTACTACCATCAGTAAATCAGACTTTTCGTGCATTCAAAGGTTTTCATTCATTATAAAAAAGCATTATTAAGGGCTACTGCGGTTATTGATATCATTTGAATAGTCTGTAACATAACCTCAATGAATCATTTCTACCAGACTTAACTGGCATTTACTGCCATTGGTAAAACCCAACTTTCCGTGCAGTGAAGTCTTCATTCATTATGCCATTAATCATTACATGCTACTGATATAATTTGAGAGGCTGAGGAGGTAGCAGCCACTGGACCCAGAGATGGAAGCTAGCTGCCCAATGTGCCCGTAGGCACAAGAGGACCTAAGGTCTAAGGTAAGGTAAGGATATCATTTAAATGGTCTGTGCTGTTACAGTCCGGTACTGTTTCCAAATTAAACATTACCTCATTCACTCATTCGTTACCAGACTTTACTACCATTTAATACCATTGGTAAATCCAACTTTTCGTGCACTGAAAGGTCTTTGTTCGTTTATATCATTGATTATTACTGAGAGCTACTGATATATACTAAATAGTCTGTGTGCTGTTAAGACCAGTACTTTTTACAATTACCATTACCTCATTCATTCATTACCCAACTTTAGTGCCATTTACTACCATTGGAAAATCCTGCTTTTCGCGCAGTGAGAGGTCTTCATTCATCCCAATTTATCATTACTGAGTGCTACAAAATAGTATGTGCTGATAATCCGGTACTGTTTAAAATTACCTCATTCATTCATTTATTAATTACCAGACTTTGCTGGCATTTATTACCATTGGTAAATCCAGGTTTTTGCGCAGTAAAAAGTCTTTATTCATTCCCATTAATATCACAAAGGCTTGAGCGTCTAACCGCAGTGACGGGGCTTTTCTTTTGAATTACGACCTGCGAGAAAAACAATCCATAGCGAGCCGGGAATTTATTTTTGTAATATCGGAGATGGAGAATCCATCTTCGTGATTATCGTACCGCTCCCATTTCTTTCCAGGGCCGCGAGGAATGAATCAAACTTCCGCCGGGACTCGCTGATCATCGGAATGACACATTACCCCATGTTACGTTCAGGCTACGTCGGGTTTGATACTAATACTCAATATAAACTAGAGAAGTAACATTTGCAAAGCAAATGCATAATATTTACCTTCGGACATGGTCTGCTCTGTTAATTCTTACTCAAACACATTCACATACATGTACTACTAGTATATGGTGACAGGAGCAGAGCAGACCATGAAATTGCAACATTATGTAACCCAACACCAGTCACCATGGTGACAGACGTCAACAAATCATGTCATTGGTCAGGTCATAGGTCACTGTTGAAGAAGAAACTGAGCAAAAACAATATGTTTTTCTTCGGTAAACATAATGACAGCCAGACTCCCCCAAATGACAGAATTTCAATGTGTTCTCTGTAACGACAACTATGGAGAAGATGAGCACATTTTGTTTTAGATTGCTTACTCTCCAAGCAGAGGATTGGGTTTTGGCTTATTTTTGGTGTGTTTTTAGGCTTTTTTATCGGGATTTATTTTTTTTTCACTGGTATCTTTCTTTTGCCAACCCAAAACGAGTATAGAATGCTCAGTATACACATGCATAATGACTACATCATTGCATCTATACTTTCCAAGCAGAAGTTTGGGGTCTGTCTGTATCAGTGTATAGTCGGTATAACCGCCACTCAGCGTATAACACGCCAGCTTCGCAGGCACGCGGCGCTTTTGGAACAAAAACTTTTGTTCCAGCACAAAGAATTGTTCTCACCTAGAGCTTTCAACCAGTCACTCTGGTCTTCTTCTGTAGACTGACCCAGTGAGACTTGTCACATGGCTTCTTGGAAGTGTGTTTTGACCCGGTGTTGACATCACACTTAAGAGAAGCCAGGTGACACCAAGTCGATATCAAATGTACTAACCCTCAAGTGCTCATCAAATCTAATCTCCAAGCAGATCCTAGGGTGACAATAGACAGTATCAAATTGGCCAGGCAGTATCCATTGGCCAGAGAGGGTCCTTGGGTGGCACATTGGACCCTTTTGATAGAACAACGCCCACTGATCTTTTTGCCTGGTCCCATGCAGACCTGCCAATAAGGGTTATCTCATGTTGTTTGCTGTTTAGATGTAGGCCATGTTGTCACCCCAGGCAATGGCTGTACGAACTACCTGATTGTGTCGACTTTGCAATCACATGAAGTGCTGGCTAAATTGCCCTGGTTCACAGGTGGCACGCTGAGTTATAGTGTCTATAGCACTACTGGCCTACTTGTCCACAGTCACCAATTTGCATACTACTTGTAGAATGTTGCATTCCAAAACGTGTCCATTAATGCACCTGCATTCCAATGCTTGGTCCATTTCAAAACATGACTTGGAATAACATATGTTTTGGAATGCAACATAGGAGTTGCAGTCCTTCAAATGGGATGTTAAGCTTGAGATACCATGTTTGAGAACAACCCCAACTCAAGAACATACAAGAATCTGCACTACACTATACTATCATTAAGAGTATATAGGGGTCCATCCCAGTGTGAGTGGATCATACAATGTACACTTCAAGACCCTTTGTTGATGGATGAAGCTTCGGTTGGCATGTAGGTCGCCCTCAAACTCATCTCTCTGCTCCCCGAACACATTAATGTGTACCAGCACATTAGACACTTTAGTGCGCCGTAAACCTGTTCCACATGAATGTAAGAGGAAAAAAACTTGCCAGTAAGTTGCTACAAACCAGAAATTTTTAAAAAGCGCTTGCCTTGCTACACTAGACCCTTCTATTGATGGATGGAGCATTGGTCCACATGTAGGTCGTGCCCAAACTTATCTCTCTGCTCCACATTAATGTGCACCAGCACATTATACACTTTAGCACCACCATAAACCTGTACCCGCTGGCCAGTCAGCTGCCACAGGTTTTACGGCCGTGATGATTTTGTGGTCGTTGAAAGAGCTAATAGCCATGTAAGGCTGGGGTTAGGGTGGTTATAGCTGTTTGTTTCAGGTCCCTCCGGGACATTCGGAGGTGGCCGTGTTGTTGATTTAACTTTATTTGGATCAACAATAAACTTGACCCTGTTCACTTCACAGCTATTCTTCCTGTACGTGGTCCTCACATATATTAATGCATAGAGTCACATAAAACAACAATCATACATTGATGAAGGTTAGACATCCAGGTAATATGATAGCCAAAACACAACTACTCAAATCAACTGGATGAAATTTGAAAGTGTCAAAATTACTGTGAACTCAAGGCCAAACTTCAAAACATTCAATTCAACAAAAGGAACTCACAACTCCCCAATATGAAATTTCCCCTCGTTTTATTAGGGTTTTGTAATGGGACCTGGTGTAAAATGTCCACGACAAAGTAACCAAAAACTTAAAATTTTTGAGTAAACTGTGAAACAAAGATGAATATGCATTGTAGACACAGGATCCATGTACATTTTATCTTTTAAAAAATGTCTTATAAAAAAAAAAGAGACAGTTTTTGTTAGAACTTGATGCATACAAGCCTCAGAAGATCTGTATTGTCCTTATACTGTAGAGACTCTATCTCGTCCTGTTTCTTAGTAACCAGCAGGGGCAACTCAAAAATGTCCTTCAGCTGGGGTTTTGTACAGGTGTAAAATGTCCACGAAAAAGTAAACAAAAATTTTAGGGTGTAAACTGTAAAATAAAGATGACTGTATATAGACACAGGATACATCTACATTTTGTCTTTTTAAAAAATATGATCACATTAAAAAAAGGGATAATTTAGATTGAAATGCTACTTGACAGTCTCTTCACAAGCTGATGGTTAATGATATCTTAAATTTTATAGAGGATATGGTTAAAGAAGTCCTCAGAAGATCTGTATTGTCCTTATACTGTAGAGACTCTCGTCCTGTTTCTTAGTAACCAGTGGGGGTGACTTGTCCTTGAGCTGGGCCAGCAGCGCGTCAAGGTCGTTCAGACCCTGGTAGAACTGCAGCCGCTGTCTCACGACCTCGTGTAACCCCAGCAGGACGTCCCGCGATTCCGGGGTTAGCACCAGCTGGGTGAAGTGGGCGTCGACGAGGGCACACAACCAGTCAACAACCTGGAATAAACAATAACCAGTCAACAACCAGGAACAAACAAACAAATAAGCAAAAAAAAACCCAGTATATCAAGACAAATTATCACTTAATCTTATGAACAAGGGCAAACAACCAGTAAACCACCTGAACAAATAATAAATTGTAAACAAAACAAATTATCAGCAAGGGCACTCAATCAATCAACCTGTAAGAAATAATAAATGAGAAATAAACAATTTGAAAGCTTATCACCAACAAGGGCACAAAACTATCAACAACCTGGAACAATCAAACAAATAAACAACAAATAAAAAAAATGAGTGTATTGCCATGTCTTGTCATTAAATGTTGCAGCAATGATAATAGAAAAAAATGTCACCATCCGCAGTGCATTAAGATACATTTGCTTTGTCTTGGGGTGTAGTGAAATATCAGATAAAATCATCTCTGAAGGTTCAAGAATCCCTAAAATATATCATGCCAAAACACAGGCTGACTAACTCACATTGATGATATGTAAGATTTGGGATCTTAAAAATCATTCAATCCATGAAATTGCGTTTCCCTGGCCTCAGGGTGCATCCAAATATCAGACAGAATCATCTCAGAGTCTGCAGATTCAAGAATTCCTCATCCTAAAATATCCTAACAATGACAATTGAAATAAAAGCACTGACTCACTCACTTTGACATAAGATTTGGGATCTTAAAAAAATCATTCAATCCATGAAATTGCATTTCCCAAATATCAGACAAAATCATTTGTGAACGTAGAAGAATCCCTAAAATTCAAAATATATTTCAAAACACTGTCTGACTAACTCACATTGACATAAGATTTGGGATCTTAAAAATCATTAAATCCATGAAATTGCATTTCCCTGGCCTCGGGGTGCATCCAAATATAAGACAGAATCATCTCTGAAATTACAAGAATTCTTCATCCTAAAATATCTTAACAAAAAGCTAGCTGGGCCAGAAGAGCGTCAAGGTCGTTCAGACCCTGGTAGAACTGCAGCCGCTGTCTCACGACCTCGTGTAACCCCAGCAGGACGTCCCGAGACTCGGGTGTCAGCACCAGCTGGCTGACTTCCTCACTTTGACATAAGATCTTAAAAATCATTCAATCAATGAAATAATTGCATTTTCCTGGCCTCATCGATCAGTGTGCATCCAAATATCAGACAAAATCATATCTGAAAATTCAAGAATTCCTTATCCTAAATTATCCTAACAACGGAAAAAAACAAATTTAAACTGATCATAACTTACTCCTTTTGACATAAGATTTGAGATCTCAAAAATCATTCAATCCATGAAATTGCATTTCCCTGGCCTCAGGGTGCATCCAAATATCAGACGGAATCATCTCTGCAGATTAAGAAATTCTTCATCCAAAGACACTGATCGATCACGAAATCCAATGAGATAAGCGCGTCTGTGACAAGAGATGCCGCGAAGAACCGCGGGGGAAAATTGGTGTCTTTGTTACAAGTTACCGGCCCGAGGCCACTGCGAAATTGGAAAAGACGATTTGATCAGAGTTGCGTCCACGGTGCCATCAAAGCCCAGGGAGAAGCGATAGATTAGACATCAAAGGATGCACTCGAAATCAATAGTACTCATAATTTCATTGGAGAATATTACGAAAGGAGAGTAAGCATTCTTCTTGTGAAGGCCAAGACCACAACTACAAAATTACTGTACGTAACTTGCACCACTCCTAAGAGGGCCTGCAGGGGGGGGGGGTCCCGACAATACTCTACGCTGAATTCGGAAACCTCTCGATTACGCTTTGCGATAAATTCCAAGTGGCTACAATGCATTACATAGAATTAAAATGGCGAATACGCTCTACGCAAAATGCGAAGAGCAGTCCGTCTACGCTCTACGTAGAATTAAAACGGCCGACTACGCTCTACGGAAAAGGGCTTGCGGTACCACTCCTAAGCCTATTCATGGTGGTGTTGTGGTTAGGTTTGCTAATATTGACTAGAATCTTAAAGTTCTGGGTTCAAATCCCTAGCAGGCCTCACTGTCGTGTCCTTGGGAAAGGCACTTAAGACACTATTTCTTCACTTGACTCCGGTGAAAATGAGTACCGAGCCTCGGTTAGGAAGTTCACTGTAAAGCTGGAGGTCGCATGTTTCAAGAAATCTGTCAGATGTTTCCAGTAGCTTCCAGTACTTACACTTTGAGTACCTACACTTTGAGTCACTGATGAAAGTTATGGTACTTGAAAATGTCTGTGACAGTTTGACAAAATATATCCAGCTGCTTGAATAACAGTTGTCTTGTGTATTTCATTTTCACTATCTGAGAAACTTTGTTCTACCCTATGTTTGTCGACGTGACTTCTTCAAACCCACAAAAATTTTGAAGTGAACCCTACTTTCTTAGGATGATCCATGAGAAAACAAAGTTTGTTTGACAAGATAACGAACGCGCCGTTTCACCGACATGCCATCATTTGTACTACCAGGCCTGTATTTCATTTTCAAAACATCTGAGAAACTTTGTGCTACATGTACAATGCGTTCCTTAAACCCACAAAAATTTTGAAGTGAACCCTACTTTCCGAAGATGATCCACGAGGAAACAAAGTTTGTTTGACAAGATAACAGACGAGCCGTTTCGCAAACATGCCATCATTTGTACTACTAGGCCTGTATTTCATTTTCAAAACATCTGAAAAACTTTGTGCTACATGTACATGCGTTGACGCCACTTCTTTAAACACACAAAAATTTTGAAGTGAACCCTACTTTCCGAAGATGATCCACGAGGAAACAAAGTTTGTTTGACACGATAACGAACGAGCCGTTTCGCAAACATGCCATCATTAAAACCCCTGCAGTTGTGTGATTAACGAGCGTGGAGAGATGACAAGAATAAATTCTTCTGCGGGAAGGTAACATAGCGTAACGTCCCCCCCTGTAGGAACAATGATACGGCTTGGTTACCAGGAAAATCAGCGGCTTGGAATCAAAACTGGAAACGGTTTGTGTAACAGGAACCCAACGGCAATTGTACAACTATGTACATCATGTAGTTACATCTACCTCTATCACAAGACTTAGCGTGTTTCATGCATCAAGTCACAACACCAATCTTACAACTTCCTTGCTACATTGATAACACTTAGACATCCAGGTAAACAATATTCAAACTTAAGGCAATTCAAACTCTTCTACTCTTTTTCAGCATCCCTAAGAAGAACTGACAGAATTTAGCGAACACTAATCACAATGTGATTAATGAGCGTGGAGAGATGACAAGAATAAATTCTTCTGCGGGATTGTAACGTAGCGTAACGTCCCCCCTGTAGGAACAATGATATGGCTCGGTTAGCGAGAAAATCAGCAGCTTGGAATCAAAAACTGGAAACGGTTCATGTCACAAGAACCCAACGGCAATTGTCAGTGTGTTTCATGCATCAAGTCAACACCAAAAGTACTTAAATGTACATCTTAGTACATGTACTTTTCTTGGGTCGTTGACATTTTGTGCACTAGATGAAAATAGATGGCTTGAAGGAAAACTAAACCTTTAACTCTGACTCTTTTTTTTACATTGTTTTTTTGCTTAATTTCAGAAGTTCAAAAGTGCCAAAAGTTTAAATTCCAAAATTCTGGTGGTGGATTGCTCAACCCTTGACAAAAATTCATTGACAAGGGTTGTACAGTCAAAAATTTGGGTATGTCCCATTTCTTGTGTGGAAAATCACACTTGCTTCATAAGATCTCCATTTGTGACTTCTTTGTAACCTGATATCATGTGTTATCACCTGTTGCCTTGAAGGTTACCAAGTAAACTCACCTGGTCCACTGACACGACCTTTCCTTGGTTACCTTGACTTGGAGCAGGTGCAGAGGTCAACTTGTAGTGCAGGTATCTCAGGAACATCTGAAGGAACACAAGAAAACAGAACTTCTTAGATGATTGATATTATGATCATGGTGGATTCAATCCTCAAGCTGAGCAAAATCTTACACACACTGCAGTCGTTCCAAAGTAAGGCATTGGGAGCCGCATAGTTCCTGTTTAGAACTTGCCATTGCACTTCTAACTTACAAGACACTTTATATTAACTCATTACTCTGGGCACCCTAAGCACCACATGAAAAATGGTCATTGAAAGATGCAGCATCTGACAAGTTGGCAACAACTCTGAAGTAAAATTCATTGCTAGTGGCACTGAGGAGTCAGTATCACTTGGGACAATGGCAGGATAGAAGTAATTCAGCAACAAAAGGCAAGAACTAATTTAAAGTAAAATTGATTGCTAGTGTCATTGAGGAGTCAGTACTTGTATGAAATATTACTTTCAATAACAATGTCTACATGTAAATCCCACACTTTCAAGGCACAATTCACTTACACTTACACTAAACCAGAACAATGGAGGGATAGAATTACTAATTAAGCAACAACTCAGATTCACAGCCTGAAATGTTACTGTTACGATGAAGATCACTCTTCTAAATCTGATTCACATACTTTCAAGACACAATCCACTTAGTACACTAACTCAGGACAAAGCAGGGATACGAGAGAATTAAGTAATTCAGCAACAAGTCAGATCCACAGCCTGAGGCGCTACAGACTTGGTGTTGAACCGACAGCCCATGACACCCCCTCATCCCGCGGCTTTCTCTAATGTAATATCAGCAGACAGCCGGGGCCTTTAATACATTCTTTGAATTGCTGTCTTTTAATGTGGCAGAATTATTGAGATTTTAGGTGGTAATCAAAAAGTGAACAATAATAGTAACCACTAGTTAAGAAGTGGCAAAAACTAAAAGTAAAATTCATTGCTAGTGGCATTGAGGAGTCACTAGTTGTATGTAATGTAACTGTTACGATGATCAGTTATACATGTAAATCCAACACTTTCGACACACAATCCACTCAGACTTACACTAACTCAGCACAATGCACGGATAGAATTAAGTAATCCAGATTCACAGCCTGAAGCACTACTAGAGTTGGTGTTGAACCGACAGCCCATGACACCCTCTCATCCCGCGGCTTTCTCTAATGTAATATCGGCGGACAGCGAGGGATCTCCCGAAAGCTGGCATCAAATTGCTTCCCGGCGAAACGCAAGCCGCCGGGCTCCGGGCCCTGCTAAGTGGGGAAATGTGCGATGGATGTAGGTCAGAGGTCACGTCAGCTGACTGAGAGCTGGGCAGGCGTGGGACACTGCGTTAAGCCACACGGGCTGGGTTGTTTTTGCGGGCAACATCCTCGAGAGACAAGATGCTTGAGTGTGGATCATTGAAATTCGGCTACTTGGACTACAACGTAGATAGGCATGTTTTGTCAGTTTCAGGAGATTTCAGGAGTTTCAGCCAAGATGTTCTGTAGTTATCTCTGACTTGTAGTTTCACAGTAGACTTACAATTACCTTGTTAGATGAAGTACTAGACAAATGAATGACTGGACTTCAGTAGTCATCACAAACACAATCCACAACAGCCATAATATTGCTGAATTGAAGTACCTACAAATTACATTAAAATCAGTTACTGAGACTTATCTAAGGGATATAACTGTTACTGATGGTTGATAATGATTTGTGGCAAATAATGTTGGGCATCATCCTTGCCACTAAGTAGGCAGTAGGCAGTTGCTACTAAGTACTAGAAAGGAATAATATCAGTTACCATGATCTTCTTGTATAAGGAATGAAAAATTTCTTTAAAAAGATACAAAAAGCAGCGTTTATATGGTACTGGCTTTCAACAGTCATGAAATGTCCTGTATCTGAAAATAAAGCCTGCAAATATGAAGATGTCATGAGTAATTTAATTGTTGTGTGAGTGGCCACAATAGCATAGATCTACTTTTAGTGTTTTCTAGTCTTCCTTTTTCTGACTTCAAACCAAAAATCTGTCAAACAACTTGCTGGACTCGGACAGCCTAAAACAGCTGCAGTTTTGCATGACCAAATCGCTTAACACTACATTCAGGGGGGGGCTAATGGAACAGGGCCTTATACAGCAAAGTGGCCCGATTATACAACTCACGGCCACTTCTCCCGCCAAATCCCACACAAGGGGATAGAACAAGGTCGGAACACACGACTACCCATTCTACCCATTGAGTTTGACCTTGGAAGTTTGAAAGGGTTCTATTTATTTCCTGTGAAGGTCAATCAAGTCAAACAGCAACCAAAAACGTTTAGAAAAGACAGGTTTTGTTTTCTGTTTCATCATTTTCAGCACAATTGTAGGAAGCGTCAAGTTTTCTACCCATCGACTTTGACCTTGAAATTTTGAAAGGGTTCTATTTATTTCCTGTAAAGGTCAACGAAGTCAAACAGGGATCAAAGACATTTAGAGAAGACATGTTTCTTTTCTTTTTCTTCAATATTATTTTCAGCAGAATTGCAAAATCCTCAAGTTTTCTATCCATTGACTTTGACCTTTAAACTTTGAAAGGAGTCTTTGAGGTCAATCAAGTCAAACAGCGATCAAAAACATTTAGGAAAGACATGTTTCTTTTCTTTTTCTTCAATTATTTTCAGCAGAATTGCAGGAATCGTCAAGTTGTCTACCCATTGATTTTGACCTTGAAAGTTTGAAAGGATTCTATCTATTTCCTGTGAAGGTCAACGAAGTCAAACAGGGATCAAAGACATTTAGAGAAGACATGTTTCTTTTCTTTTTCTGTTTCTGAATTTTCAGCACAATTGCAGGAATCGTCAGTTTTCTACCCATTGACTACATGACCTTGGAAGTTTGAAAGAATTCTTACTATCTATTTCCCACAAAGTCAATGAAGTCAAATACTGATAAAAACATTTAGAAAGGTACAAGTTTATTTTCTTTTTCTTCAATTATTTTCAGCACAAATGCAGGAATCATCAAGTTTTCTACCCATTGACTTCAACCTTGGAAGTTTGAAAGGGTTCTTTGAGGTCAATCAAGTCAAACAGTGATCAGAAACATTTAGAAAAGGGATGTATTGTTTTCTGTTTCATAATTTCCAGCACAATTGCAGGAATCCTCAAGTTTTCTACCCACTGACTTTGACCTTGTAAGTTTGAAAGGATTCTATTTTCCATGGGGTTAATGAAGTCAAACATGAATTAAAACATTTAGGACATCTCTTACTCACTCCTACATGTACATGTAGTACCTCAATCCTTTGATGGCTTAAAGAGTAGAAATTAACGTCTGTTGAGTGAAGAGCTACATGTACGTAGCCAGCTGTTGCGATTTCCCATAGAAGGTAGTTGGCCAATTTCTGATATTCCAACTCCAGCCACAAAAAGCAGTACTTTTTGGAGGCAAAGCTCAGTCCCTGTCTTAACCCTCAGAATGTTAATTAAGGAAGCCATTTGGTACTAAATTTGTACTAGTTATGGGTTAGGCAGCAGGGAGAAGGATAACAGCATTAAAAATTTTGCTAATGTTTCCTTCCCACAAGGCAGAACATGTTCGAAAGGTCCTGGCAGGCAGCAAAAAGGGTCTGGTATCGACAAAACCTGCTTTGGTACCAAATTTGTTAGTTATTACGTTAGACAGCTGTGCTAATATTTCAGCTTATAACAGCAGCAATGCTTTACAATACTTCCATCCCACACTGCCGAAAATGTTTGGAGGTCCTCCTCAGGCAACCAAAGGGTCTGGTATCGACTAAACCGGCCGTTCCCGAATATCGGAAGAGCAATAAAGGCACAACATGATCGTGGACAAGAACAATCATGGCCAGCCATAGAGAACCAAACTTCCCATAGGTACATGTTAGTAGTTGGCCAGTTTCTGATATTCCAGTCCCAGCCACAAAAAGCAGTACTTTTTTGGAGGCAAAGCTTGGTCCCTGTCTTAACCCTCAGCATGCAAAAGCAGCCGTTTGGTACTAAATTTGTACTGGTTATGGGTTATAGGCAGCAGGGAGAAGGTTACCAACGTAATGGATTTGCTAATATTTCCATTTCCTTCCCACACTGAGGAGCATGTTCGGACATCCTAGCAGCAAAAGCTTGGTCTGGTATCGACTAAACCGGCCGTTCCCGAATATCGGAATAGCAATAAACGCACAACATGATCGCGGACAAGAACAATCATGGCCAGCCATAGAGAACCAAACTTCGAATAGGTAGTGGTTGACCAGTTTCTGTTCTGATATTCCAGTCACAAAAAGCAGTACTTTTAACCTCCTCCCTGCTGCCTAACCCATAACCAGTACAAATTTATTGCCAAATGGCAACCTTAACATGCTGAGGGTTAAGCAGCATGGAGGAGGTTAAAAACATAAAATTCAATGCTATTATTTCCTTCCTACACCGCAGACCATGTTTGAAGGTACGGGCAACCAGCAGGGTCTGGTATCGACTAAACCTGCCGTCCCCGAATATCGGAAGAGCAATAAACGCACAACATGATCGCGGACAAGAACAATCAAGGCCAGCCATAGAGAACCAAACTTCCCATAGGTACAGTAGTAGTTGGCCAGTTTCTGATATTCCAGTCCCAGCCACAAAAAAGCAGTCTTTTGGAGGCAAAGCCTTGCTCTAGTCATGGATTCTGTATTAACCCTCAGCTTGCTAAGAAAGCTGTTTGGTACCAAATTTGTACTGGTTATGGGTTTAAGGCAGCAGGGAGAAGGTTAACAAATTATGTATGGCTTCCTAATACTTCCTTCCCACACTGCCGACCATGTTCGAAAGGTCTGGTATCGACAAAACCGGCCGTTCCCGAATATCGGAAGAGCAATAAACGCACAACATGATCGCGGACAAGAACAATCATGGCTCCTGTGAGGCCGGGGGCTATCGGCTACACCAACACGCAACATTGATATTACAATAAAAATTGCACATGCTTTCAGGTGAGATTCGGGGTCAAATAGAGGCCATTGATTTTTTTTAAATCCAAATGAGTTTCAGTGGCAAA